GTCAGATGACAGTTTGTTACTAGATGACACTGACAAAGACATCCCGGTCATAGAATGAAAAACTGCAGACATCCCAAAAAGGAGGAGAGTAGCAAAGCATATCATGCTGTTTCTTCGGCTGGTGTCTGTTACACAAAAAAGGCGAATACCAAAAGATCACCAAAACATCAGAGGCACGGTAGGAAAGATTGAGATCATATAATGCGAAATTTCAGCCTTTAAGAAAAGCACAAGAAATGTGTCGAAAACACTCATGTACAAGTGAAGTTACTTCAAACGACTGCAGAAGGTTAAAACAATGGTTCGTTTTTGTAACCTTTCTCAAGCGGAAACATTATCGAGGAACTATTTTAGCATGCATCCAGGGTGTTTTCCCTATCTGAAAGTATTGTACAATATTGGCGGTGTGCAGAAGATTGAAGAAAACCGAGATAGGTCTTCATACTAAAAATCGCTCCCGTATGCTACTGAATACAACGGCCGAGGAACGTAACATTTTGAGGGGGTTACGTACACAAGTAGATGTTTTTGGCAGACGTAAAATTTCGGAAAAGCTCCAGCATTCAAATCTACTGATGGAAGATAGCAGTCCGCTTCATTAGCTGTCGGAATCGTGCAACATCTTCCTAATATTTCGTCACGTCCTACAAGTAGCGACAGTACCGCCCCAAGATTAATGAAATTATCTCACAAGAGGAAACGCCATAATAGCGATACCCTTTGCCATGTGTACGAATATCATAGCGGACTTCCAAACAAAAGGAGCCCACGGTTGTACCATTCTCTGCATCAACCAGTTACGTCACCGTTTGATACGGATGTGACACAATCCGTTTTACCACTAGTTTAAGAAGTATTTCGGACACTAGACGTAGTTGCAATATATAGCAATATATAGCTAGACACAAATACAGACCGACGCACAACAAAACATTATTTTTTTACTTTCATCATTTGTCATTGTGATGTTGTAGTACATATCCGCAACAGGGATTTCCGTTGTTGTTCAGTACGAGTCTAACTAGGTACTGCCCTTTCCACGACAAGCACACAGAATCCTTTACTGACGAACTAGTCTGTAACACCGAGTCCCTTTTATCCATTTGACCGGAAAGTCATTTGAACCCAACCTCGGCACTTCCAGTACTCCTGTCTAAGCTTGGGCAAAGTGGCACGGTCTAAACCCTCGTGCTTTTTTCGGGAGGAATGGCAGCAGGGTACCAGAAGGGTATTGCTACTGAACGACTGTTAGTTTATTATTCGAGTTATACTGCTAGAAGACAGAGGCTGAAGGATGTTGAAATTTTGCTTGTCTTCAATCGCAACACCAAAAGCAATCAATTTGACATCATTAATAGGGATAAATAGTAACCAAAACGTGGGACAAAGCCAACTGTACGGTAAGTCAATCAGGCCCAGTGCTTAAGTCCAAGGCAAGCTAATGGCTTGTATCAAGGTCTTTCATGCGAACAAGATGGGTCAGTAAACATGGCCTTACTAAGAGTGCGCACAATTCTGAACGCTGTAGTGGGGTCAGCTCTCCGTTCAGTAGATAGAATGTGTTTGGCGGTCGAGGCAGGTATCCGAGTTTCAGCTTGTGAAGTGGCACACAAGTTGTGAGGCAGGGAGACTGGATACAATACGACCAATCACAGCACGTAATTTGTGTCATATGGCTGAGGCTAACTGATCTTCCTTCAAGTGCAGCCTCATAAAAACCTCCTCCCTTTTTACTGAGTAGTCAGGCCCCGCTTATACCGTAGTGTGCAACGAATGCTGATGAGGTTCTCTGGGTAACCATTGGAAGTCAGCATCCTTTTTAAGAGATCTTCTTCCTAGAGAGAGTTAGTACAAATACGTCTCGTGCAGTCAAACAAAATGCACACCAGGCTTGTTCTATAGACTGAACGAGCAAAATTGTTAATACTGTAATTATTGCTCAGTCAATGAGGGTTCACGGTACACTGAACACTTGAAGCTGCCATATGGGCCTCCGGCAATCAGAATACCCAAAACTGCAACTGTTACCAATTTCTCTAGCGGTTGTACAGTTTCTCAAGGTGGTCATCATCATCATCAAAGGCAGCAACATCCCGGTTGTACATTTCTCAAGGTGGTCATCATCATCATCAAAGGCAGCAACATCAGTGTTGACATGGATGCATCACTGCCGTACAACCATAAAGGTTGTCTAGTTATATATATATATATATATATATATATATATACATATATATATATAATAAC